GTGTGTGTGTGTGTGTGTGTCTACACACACACATATACATACATACATACATACACAATGGAATATTACTTAGCATTAAAAGAGAATAAAATCATGGCATTTGCAAGTAATGGATGGAGTTGGAGAAGATCATGCTAAGTGAAAGAAGCCAATCCCCCCAAACCAAAAGCCAAATGTTTTCTCTGATAAGTGGATGCTCACCCATAATGGGGGGGGGGCAGAATTTGGAGAATGGAGGAACTTTGATTGGGCCCAGGGGAGAGAGAGAAGGGGAGGGGACAAGAGGGTAGGAAAGATGGTAGAATGAGACAAAATCATCATCCTAGGTACATGTATGACTGCACATGTGGTGTGACTCTATATTATGTACAATCAGAGAAATGAAAAGTTGTGCTCCATTTGTGTACAATAAATTGAAAAGCTTTCTACTGTCATGTATAACTGATTAGAATTAATAAAAATAAATTTTTTAAAAAAGAGCAATGAAGGAAAATAACAAAGAAGTGTGTTGTTGCTAAACCAAATATGATGATACTTGATGGGGACAAGGACTGAGCTTGTACTAAACTCAGTGGTGGTGAGAAACTTAGAGTGCTGATGGCAGCTTCATTACTGAGGAATGTGTGCTCAGTATGTGCTGCTGTTTTCCTAGTTTCTAAGATGCATTTGGCTTCATTGGGGAAAAAAATTAATGTGGTCAGAACATATGTGGAAAGTCGTTTTTTAAGCCAGTGATATATTGCCTATAATAAAACACATCTTGAGTAAAGGAAAATAAACAATAAGTAAAAACTGAACAAATGATTTCTGCTTAGCCTTAAGTTATAGCATATAAGGGTCTTCATAGAAGTATGCTTGGGTCCTTCTGGTACAAAATGAAATGTCATGGACCATATACTATCCCTCTAAATAAATCTGCAGCTGAGTTTATTATTATTTTTCAGTTCTTCTGCCTACCACTCTCCCTTAGTATCTTACAGAAAACCTTACTGAGAAATGCTGGAGAGGATGTGGAGCAAAAGGAACACTTTTACACTGTCGGTGGGACTATAAATTAGTACAACCGCTATGGAAATCATATGGAGGCTTCTCGAAAGACTAAGCATGGACTCTTATCACCCACCTATACCACTTCCTGGTATTTACCTTGAAGAATTAAAGGCATCTTACTGTAGTGATACATGCATACTTACATTTATAGCAGCACAATTCATAAAGTCAAAGTCATTTTGACAGAACAGCCAAACTATGGAACCATCCTAGGTATCCATTGTTGGAAGAATGGATAAAGAAAATGGATAAAGAAAAAAATCCATATACACAATGGAGTTTTATTCAGCCATAAAGAAAAAAAATGTCATTTGCAGAAAAATGGATAGAACTAGAGACCAATATGTTAAGTGAAATAAGTCAAACTCTGAAGGTTAAGGGTCCTGTTTTCTGTCTTATGTGGAAGCTAGAGAGGAAAAACGTAAACAAGGGTCAGGGTAGATTTCCTAAAAATCGTAGGAAGATCAGTAGAGGAAAGGGTCCAAAGAGTAGAGGTGGGGAAGGAGGGGAGAGGTGTTGGGGAGTGATATTGGCCAAATTATATTGTTATCTCTGTGCATTTATGAATATGTAACCACAAATCCCATCAGTATGTACAACTACAATGCACCATTAAAATGTGGAAAAAGTAAATAAAAATAAAAAAGGAAACCTTATGAAAGAAGACAATCATTTCTCCAGAGATATGAAATGTTGTTTATCCCTCTACTCCCCTACATAATCAGTTTCCCTTATCATTTTTGAATTGCCTACAGCAAAATAGCAAACGTGCAATTGCCACGAGCAAAAGGATGATCTAAAATAGATGTACCAAGAGAAATTTTAGGAAATGATAACAGCCTCATGTTTTGGGGGGAGGAGTACTTAAAAAGCCCAGGAATGAAATCAGCTGAATGCCTATCTTGCTGAGAAGCTTGAAAAAGTTCCTCTGACTTCTGTCAAATACTTTCTGTGTTCCACAGGAGGAGAGGCAGGGCTGGAACTAGGTGAAGCTAGTGTGGCAGTCACCTTGGTTATGACAGTTATGGTTCACCAAAAACACTTGGTAGTTATTGAAATAGGATTTTAATTCAATTTATGAAAATTACCAGTAGTTTAAAGAAAGATAGGATTGATCTTATCAATTTTCCTTTTGCCTTGGATTCCAGTATGGCCCAGTTTGGCAATGTCAAGAAAACTTGGCCAAACTGCAGGAACCTCAGGAATGGACATGTGTCCAAGGATATCTTAGAGAAATAGTCTCAGTAGGTTGTGAGGTGTAAGCTCAAAGTCATTCAACAAAAACTAGTTTCATCTCCATATCTCCATGTGCATTATTTATCTACTGGACCAGTGACAGCAGAATGAAATTGTCCAGTTCGATTGAATTTACAGAACCCCTTAAAACAGAGATCATGATAAACCCCAGGGACTGAAAGGACGTACTTCATATACCATGAGCCTGTCAGACAGTATAACCTCAGCACATCAGACCTGATTAAAGATGACTTGAAATTTAGATTTTTAAGAAAGAATTTTCAGTTTTTAATCTTTGGGTAGTAGCGCTACTGAGCAAAAGAGTCCAAAGAAAAGATTTTCCTTAAGTTACAAGCGTTAATTTAAGGCCAATTTGATATTAATTATGAGGTATTTATTGCTTATCTGTTGCTTATTTTTGCAAATGAGGTTTATGACATGAGACAGAGATTCTGTTTCAAATTTTATTGAATGAATAGGAATTGAGTAAGTGTGTGAGCTGAAGTGATGTTATTTTTAAATAAGTTGTTTATGTTTACTCAAAAACAGCATCATAAAAATTCAGAGGTTAATTCTGAGTATGATGATATTGACATCTAATCCTAAATGAGATTTTTTTGAGTTTTCTATTTGGAGAAAAATGTAGTATATTTAAAAATGTGGATTTTTCCATGAAAAATTTTTCCATAAAAATAGTGTGGTGTTCAGTCATTTTTAACTAAAACATCAGAGTATACTTCATAGTAACTGCATAATTTCCTTGATTGTGGATTCTTCTTCTAAATAGAAAAGATGACAGAAGCTTAAACACTTGTTCCTGGCTGTTGACCTGTTGGATTATATTTGTCTAGTAATTAAAGCTTTTAGAAGTTACTATTTAAAATGTTTTTCTCCTTAACATAAATATATCTCCATATTTTGAAAATAGAAAATTTCCAAAAAAGGCTTATCCAATGAAACACTGAATATTTTCATTTTGACTTTGATCTAAAAAAATTTTTTTAGTGGATATTATGTAAACTAGACTGCAGCTCTTAAAATTGCAGAACAAGTCAACAGACTGGTAGAAATGCCTTCAGTGGAGAGGGTTCTTCTGTTTTCAAAATTACTAGTGTTTATGAAGAAAAGTTTGCCTTCCTGCCCAGAGAAAATAATAACTTAAGGAGGGTAAAAAAAATGCCACCTTATAATTTTTCTACATTGTTTCTTATTAATGAGTTGAAAAAATTGCATTAACGTGCACAGCATGCAATTCTTAATTATAGCTCTGTAGAAGAACAGAATGCAAGGGACATTTCATGATGTTCACATACGGATTATCACTAATCATCGCTAAAGCAGATCAGTATGTTAATCTCCCTCCCTCTTCCATTCTCATTTGTTCCTCTTTTCTTTGCTTCTCTCTGTTTTCAATGGCAGAAATCATCCTTTTTTGAGACTCTTAATTAAGACACTGTCAGTTTTTCACACAGCATCAGTATTTGATTACTACTGTATGTTTTACCTTATTTACTTTTGAAAGTCTCTTAAGATCAGATTCATGACTGTATTACATCTAATTCAGTTCACTGACCTTAAATTAATGTTTCATTTGCTCACATCTTTGATCAAAAATATAATTGCTCTTGCCAATAAGCCAGTACATCACCATTTACCCCAAGATCATAGGTGGGTTTTCTTGGTTCTGGTTACACGTGGCCCCTTTAAAATCACTTGTAAACTTTTTGCTTTCTCCTTGCTAAGAGTCTCTCACTCTTTCCTTCTAAGGATTAATCTGAAAAAGTTACTGTTGATTTTCAAATTTCTCTTGCTTCAGATTAAGCCGAGGTTGACTGTTCTGCCCAGCTTTTTGAGTCAGAAGGAATTTCCTCTCTGGTATGTACTTGCTGTTGAGAAGGGTTGGTGAAATCTGTCCTGGGAAGGAATACTGGACTAACTGAAAAAAAAATAGTGTTATGGTCAGCTTTTTTCTCTCTGAATCAATGATACTAATCAAGGATATGATATTGTTTATCCAACAGGACCTCATTGAACAATGTGGAAGTTGGGGGATGTGACTTTTAATTTACTTGGGGATTATTTGGTCACTTCCAACATCCCATGCTTCTAGGTTTCTTTTCTTTTCCAGAAGGTAAAGGATGGCCATATGTATATTGTGGCTGTTACCTCAATGTTGTCTTTCTTAAGCAGTTAGATAAATACATGCCATTAGTTTACACTCTTTATTTAATCCTTTAGTTTTAACATACACTAATAAGTGCTCTGGAGTTCACTGGGGACAAGACTGCTAAAATACTAAGACTCTGTATTTATCTCTGTAAATGTGACTAATTCAAGCCTTCAAATAAGAATGCATTTCTAAGGATCTGGCAAAAACAAGAAAAAGTCAAAAGAACAGAAAATCAATCCACCCACCACCAAGCCAGTCAGAAGAGACAGGAGTGTCCAAAAACATAATTGCTTCTTTAAGAAGGGTGCACAGGGGCCTGAAGCATGCACCAAATAAAGTAGTGACCGTTCCTACCTTGCAGCCTTCACACGTGATGACTCCGTAGTGAATCCCGGAGGATTTATCGCCACAAATTTTGCATGGTATCACTTCAATTTGTGCTGAAAGGGGAAAACAGAGTTTACACATTTTTTTTTTCTTTCAGTCTTCTTATCTCTTTCTCCTCCTATCCCAGCCATAATGTTTGTGTTTGAGGATCCCAGGGTGGGAGTGGTAGCATGCAGGTCACCCACTGCAATTTGAAAGTCTTCATAGACTTTCTCTATGTGTTAGGGCATCTGTTTGCCACTGCTTGCTTTTCTTATTTTATTTTTTAAATTTACATATAACAACGGAATGCATGACACTCTTATTACATATATAGAGCTCAAGTTTGCATATCTCTGCTTGTATACATATAGTATACTCACACCAATTCGTGTCCTCATACATGTACTTTGGATAACTAAACAACCTAAATAAATAAATAACCAGAGATCAGAAGTTTTCTAAAGTCTTGTTTTCACTATTGTCTCCTTTTAAAACTTGACCTTAAAATAGAGTAAAACAAAAATCTCTTGAACCCATAACTTTAGACTTCTTATTTTCCTCTTGAAACTGAGAACAGCTTTCACATGGCTCTATCTCAATAATATTTTAAATAGGTAAAGAAAGTAAAACTAGGGTGTGGATGTGTGGCTTTATCCATTATGTGGCTGGATGTTCACTCTGGAAAATACCAATAAGAAATCAGATCATTTAGTGATCATGTTCTATCTATCCACTAGGATACTGAAGGCTGATGACACAGGAAAAAATAAAGTAATAATTGTAGTAATGCAATTAGTGAAACAATGTGAATATGTAGAGAAATCAGAAAATGTCAATTACTTGATGTTAAGAATGAATTTAATAGGAATTGAAATAGTTTCATTGGAAATGATGTGGAATTTGGTCAGGCTAAAGGGAAAGGCAAAGAGCATTCAATAAAAAAAGATTGGAGGTCTGGGGTGATTGTGACTCAAAAATCATAGCATTTGGCTATAATGGAAATGTGGGAAATGTGGTTGCATTGAGGGGTGATGCCAGATTTTGGAGTTCCTGGGGTTGGGTAGAGTTTTTACCTAATCCCACTTGCCATAAGGAAATAGATGGATAAATAATAAAAGTGGTGATTTAAGCACTCAGAAAGGTGAATGTGGAAGGCTGACCAGACAAAATAAAGGTCATTCCTAAAGTGGGTGTGGAGCTGAAGCATAGGTCTCATCAGTGGCAGAACAAATGGAGAGGAAGAAGCAAGAACAAAGATGGTTTAAGGGCAGAAGTCAGATTATATGATGACAGAAAGGACATAAATTGATGAAGAAACATGGATGACTTCCAGCTTCCTGGGTTTGACAAAAATGGGGTGTTTGTGGGATCTGATGGAGCGTGGGATTTCCATTTTGCATGTGTGCAATTTGGTGTGATGTTTTGCAGGCAAGTCTATGGGAGTGTATGTGTGTATGGACATGTATACATATATATATGTACATATATGTGTGTATGTATGTGTGTGTATATAAGCATATATATATATATATATATATATACAAAACATCTCTTAGAAAAATGATTTTAAGTCATCTTTATAGAGATTATCTAGAATACAGTAATTCCTCTGTCTCTGATAGTATTCTAAGAGTTGTTACAATTTCACACACTAAGAAGTTCTGCTATTTCCTATCCCAATTTAAAATAATTATGTAAAATATACTTCAAAATTCTTTGTACATAAATCTGCTGCTTGGATACATTCTATAGTTCTTCATTCTTAAATACACAAAACAAATAAATGCAAGATGTAACCCTCTTTTTTATTGTTTCACTTTAAAAAATACTTAGCTTTAGAGTAGCACATTAAGGTTTTCAAAATTGAATATATTACATAAACTTTAAATCATTTTAGTAAGCAAAAAAAAAAAAAATTCAATGCTATAAGAAAAAACTGAGGATCCAGGTTGTCAATGATATTTTGCAGCTGAGGTGAGAAGTGATAACCCAAATTTAGGCACATTTCCTAATGCTTTGGTTAGTAACCCATTCTATGCCTTTTACAAACCAAAGTAAGAACACAATTTTGAATTCTTATATTAGTGCAGAGCAACAGATAAAAAAGCTAATGATAAAAACGTCACAGGAGACAATTTCCTAAAGTACTTATTAGATTCAGTATTTCTGTTTGCTCCTGCTTCTTTTAGTTTTCCTAGAGTTTGTTTTCAAGATTTTGTGATGGGGGAAAGATAGGAGATTTGATATCATTCTGTTCTGTTCTCCAGCATTTCAGTCCTTAATCTATTAATGATTGAGGTCATTGCCAAGATAAAATCTATGATCTTATGTTTTCTGGTTTATAAATATAAACCTTAACTACTACTTCATAGGTCTTTGAGGATTGAATGAATATTTTATGTGGAAGTGCCTTGTAAATAGTAAAGAGCTATAAAACAACATCATCATCATCATCTTCACCATCATAATCATCATCATCAACTGGTTTTTCCAATGCTTTTGGACAAGAAATAGAACAAGCCCATTGTTATTTCTTTATTAAAGATCTTGTCATTTTAAAGTAATCTAATGAATGATACTATAAGTTATTTGTATTATGGATTTCTTAAAATGATAGCCTTTTAAACAGTGGATTATTTATAATGATTACAAAATTGACTTTAAAAAAATCCCAGGTATCCATTGTACAGTTTTTAGCTTATATGATATTAAGTCATAGATTCCCTTTGCATAGATTACTCCCCAGGGAGTAGCATACACATGGGGAGAATCTGCTTCAATAAGTTCTTAATTATAAAATGATCTAACTTTAAAGGAAATGAAAATAGAGGTAATTTGCCCCCTGGGGTGTGAGAAGATGTTTTTGAAAGGCACAAAGGTTATCTTATACAATTTCGGAAATACAAATGAGATAAGGAACATTCAGTGGAGCATCTGCATATTTATACATATTTATAATCCTGGCTCAACATGTAATCCTGAAGAGCTATAAACACTTTAACAGCATTTTTAAAGAGAAAGAAGTCACATACAAGCGTATATATGTTGCTGGTGTGGGAAAGGGATATCGGTTAGAAAATCTTATGACTGTTTTTATTCATTATGGCAGAATAAATCATCTGAGGTTTATTAGAGGTAAGTACAAATTTAAATCATGTAAAGTCACAGTCCTTATCCTGTTCTCCCATTAAAAAAAATTAAGATGCTTCTGGCCACACCTTTATGGTTCATACTATATGTTTTATAAAGCAGATTTATAAGACAGTGTATTTCAGACACTAATTGGGACAACAGATCCCAATATTGCTCCAACATCTGCCCTTTCTAAATGTCTTGCCATACAGTCATTTAGAATTATCTTGCAGTGTATATAGCCCTGGTAAGATGTTACATATCATGGCTCTGGCTCCGAACTGAACATCCTGGGAAGATCTGATGGCTTGGACCTCCAGCTGTGAGAAGGAGGGTGATGAAGGGAACTGAGGAGGGAGTTTGTCCTTTGTATTTTTCTTGACTCATGGATTTATTCTACAATAGTGTTCCTGGAGATCAAAACTTGGCAGAGCTGAAATACCCTGAGAGGCGGTTTAAATTTGATCATTTTTTCCATTTCTTAACAGATTTCTCTTTCTTATAGTTTTCCATTGATAATCCTTTGTGTAGGCAATAGTTAAAAACTATCAACTAAATGTTTTTGTTTCTGAAAGCAATGACATGTAGGTTTTTTGTTTTTGAAATAATATTTTCGCAGCATTGGTGTCATGAAATATTTGAAATAAATTGATGCTGTATATACTATTAAAATAATTTATAAAGTACAGTAAATTCCCATGATTTGGTAGGCATAGCCTATTCAATAATATTGAAATAAAATTTTCTTCCTCTTTGGAGATGCCAATTCTTTCCCCCGAGTATTCTTTGCTTAGAGTCTCTGGTCACAACTTCACATGAAGTCACCAAGTCTCAATTCTTTCTGTTTATCAAAAGGGTTAGTTCTGCTTCCTTCAATCCTCCACTGGTGATGGCATGTGTTAAGGCTAGATAAAGTAATCCAGGCTAATGAGTTAACTAGAAAATGCACCACTTTGATGCAGTAAATACTTGAACTTGTAAAATCATTCACTGGGGATGGCAGTGACATTGACATTTCAGGTACTTTCTGGTTGGAAGAAACATTTTACTGCACGTGCTCTTGTGGCTTTCCATGCTTACCATTCCAACTTCTATAAATTAACCCACCCATCTTTATATTCTGGCCTTCTCAGTTGGGACAGGGATAAGGTTATATTTCTTTTTTTGTTCCCAATGTTGTCTAGAGGAGACTTTTAAAATTCCTTTCTAAAATTTTTTTTCTTTCCTTTAGTGCAAACAAGAGATTTGACATCCTTTTATAAAAGAGGCTTTAAGTAATACTGATTTTCCACATTGGGGGTAAAAAGAAGAAATCCGAGTCTTGAGATTTCAGAGGAATATATATTTTGGAAAAAGCCCCCAAGTGATTCTGATATGATAGGACTCCCATTGAGAATTAAATGAATAAAGTTATTAGCTAGTAATTTTCTCTACCAAGTAAACCACTTGTAATGGTAAGAAAACCTGGCGGGGGGAGGGGGCAGGCCAGATCTGAGAAAACTCAGAAATGGTGAGTAACTTGGATTCCTGACTTTTGGTTTGGGGCTTTACTCACACCATCTTTTGTTTTCTGCTTTTTGTGTGTTACTTATTTTTGCCTAAGGGAAATAGAAAGCACCTACCAGCCTATGAGTCCTCCACCGGACACTGTGTTTCTGGATACTATGCAAGATATGTTCCTGGACATTGGGTTTGCCTGTTTCTGTTTCCTATAATTTTGTAGTTATGCTAAAAGTGGACAGAGCAATTAAATCTCTTAGTGTCTGAGTGAAGCAAAACTTACACATATAAAAATTTCCAATAAAGATGACTATTTTGGTTAAAAATCCTTTTGCAGATGGTCTCAATAGCCCAAGTTGTAGCTCAACTACCATCTGTGACAAATCCAAGTTAAAAATCTCTGTTTATACGCTTTCCCTCTTTTACTGGCCAGACTGAT